GGTTACAGTGTCATTACAACGTAACTTATATGAGTCAGATAAAAAAAAACAGCTACGTATACCATAGATACTGCAAGTAATCGCTTTAATTATCATTACGGTTCCCGATGCATTTTACATTTAAAAATATTGTTTATTTTAACAGGTTAATAAGTATTATGATGTATGATTCCGATTGTTAATAGTGAACTGCATATAAACAAGTCGGTAATTTGAAGGTTTCTGCCATGCGAATCAGATGTATTCCATATTCACTTCACAGATTAGCAAGTTTCATGACATCTTCTCTTTGGCCTGGCATGGCCAGGTAAATAAGGCGCTCGACTCGCAATCTGAGGGTCGCGGGTTCGAATTCCCGTTCCACCAAACATGCTCGCCCTTTCAGCAGTGGGAGTGTTATAAGTGACGGTCAATCCCACTACTAGTTGGCAAAAGAGTAGTCCAAGAGTTGGCGGTGGGTGGTGATGACTAGCTACCTTCCATCTAGTCTTACATTGCTGAATTAGGGACGACTAGCTCACGAAATTCAAAACAGACATCTTCTCACAATTTTGAACTTTTCGGTGTCCTTCTACATAGTAGCACTGACTGCTACAGGCTTTCACCACAGTGGCAACGTCATGTGTAATTTAATCCCAGATTGTAGTTTATGACACCATGTCTAAAACCTCAAAGGTACGGAAAACGTAATGGTCCTGAACTAAGACCTCTTTCAAATATGTCGCTGAATTGGTCAGTTATAAATAACCAGAAAAATCAGGATCATGTTAGTTTCTGCATGTTTACCAGGTTCACCACTAATTGGTTATCAAAGCTTTTACCTGTGGAGAGTATAAGATGAAAATGAAACTTTAAACAAAGAAAAATAAAATGTCACATCTAATGACTAACGTATGCGCAAAGTTTTTATTCTGCAGGGTGTAGTGTTGCTTTGAATTACCATGTATTTTTGCAATTTGCTAGTAAAAAAGAGGATATGTGCGGTATCTAAGCAACTTACGGCACCTTTTAAATCTGTTATAAATAAAACAGTACTGAAGTCTAAGATACCAATTACATGACTGTTCTTTGTTACTGGAGCTTCATGAAGATGCCTTCTGTATATGTCGTCTATATATAATTAAAGTTTCTAAACGCAATTCAGGTCGATCCTAGCAATGGTTACCGACTTCCACAAAGGGAATATTTACAACAAAAAAGAAAAAGGTCTAAGTATCTGAATAATATTAACTTATTCTTGTGCTTAGTGAAAGGTCAAATGTCATTTCGGCAAGTAGCTTAAAAACAACGATTTTCAAATACTCTACCTAACCTAATGCATTTGCTAAAACAATAACATATTTTCCTAAAATCAAAAGATCATCATTTATGTGAACACACAGGATTTACTATCACGAATGCAAAACGTGACATAACCTTTCTTTACTGGGTTAACAATCTAAGCCTTTCATCTTATAGCTTCTAAAACTTTTTTTTTCTTCTTTCAAAACCACGAGTTATGATGATTACCACACGTGGTGTCAAAATTGATTTTATTGACCGACAATACACTATTCAACAAATGTATAAGATGAATGCTTTTGTTCTGTAGTACGATAAGGTGACTATTCTGAGTTAATTGTACGAAATATAGCCAATCACACGTCTGTGAGTTCTATAAAATCATATTTATACGATTGTTTAATTGTGAGATTTGAAAACTATTTTTATTCCTTCGTTCATTACTTATTGCTTTTATATTTCTTACGGCAGGCATTCCCTCTTCTCAAGTATCATCCACTGTGAAGTCAGAGGTTTATCATAGACAGAACAACCAAGAAGGTACGCTCTGTTCGTTTAATCTTCTTATTAAATCCACGACTGTTAGTATTATAACAACTCTTGTGAGAGGTGGAACAGTCATTTCTTTTAGTTATTTTCTTTTGACAGAATTTTATATCAAACTTTGTACTAGAATCCCCTGGTATGACAGCGGTAAGTCTAAGGACTTACAACGCTAAAATCCAGGGTGCAGTTCCCCGCGGTGGAACAGCAGATAGCCGAATTTGGCTTTGCTATAAAGCAAACAAACTGAACTAAATCAATTATCATTGTCTGAACTTTATAGAGCATGAATTATTCGACATTATAATGTATTCTAGCGACCCCGTGGGCTTGTGGTATACATTTAGAGAGCGATATAATTCAAATTTAATGCCTCAATTACTATTTTGCACTTTTTCAGTTTAATGATCATCGCAATTTTAATTTCTTTAACCAAGATACGAACGTTGATTAGTAGGCATACTTATTTACGTGTTTTAATGTAAATCAATGTCAAATTGTGGGTCTGCTTTTCAAGAATTATCGTAAAAAGGTTTGATGTAAAGTTTTACCTTTGTGCAAACCTCGGGGCCCAAACGACTCGTTTGGTACCATTTAGAAGTCGGTGCGACCAGCGGTTTATGAGATACGTGATGCGCGCACACACACAGACACACAAACACAAAATCTTATTACAAAAATATGTTCAAGCGACATTCTACACTAGAACCGGGATATGTTATATAGTATAGTACACAGCTTGTAGTCTACACTAAAACCAGAATATTCTACCTGGTATAGTGCAATAATCACACTACACAAGAACCATGATATGTTATATAGTATAGTACACAGCTTGTAGTCTACATTAAACCAAAATGTTCTACCTGGTATAGTGAAATAATCACACTACACAAGAACCATGATATGTTATGTAGTATAGTACTTAACTTACACCAGAGTAGAACCAGAGTATGTAATATAGTATACTGCACAACTTACACTCTGTACTAAAACCAGAATATGTTATGTAGTATAGCACATAATTTACAGACTATACTAGAACAAGGATATGTTATCTAGTATAATACACAACTTACAAAATACATACAGACAGGTGTGTTATGTAGTATAGCACATAACTTACATTTTACACTAGAACCAGGATATGTTATATAGTATAGTACACAGCTTGTAGTCTACACTAAAACCAGAATATTCTACCTGGTATAGTGCAACAATCACACTACACTAGAAGCAGGATATGTTACATAGTATAGTCCACAGCTGTATGGAAGGCAGTGTGTGTTAACATATTGTATGGAAGGCAGTATGTTGACATATTATGTGTTGACATATTGTATGGAAGGCAGTATGTTGACATATTGTGTAGATTTGTATGGAAGGCAGTGGGTTGACATATTATATAGATTTGCATGGAAGTCCGTATGTTGACATATTGTATGGAAGGCAGTATGTTGACATACTGTGTGTTGACACATTGTATGGAAGGCAGTATGTTGACATATTGGGTGGATTTGTATGGAAGGCAGTATGTTGACATATTGTATAGATTTGTATGGAAGGCAGTATGTTGACATATTGTATAGATTTGTATGGAAGGCAGTGGGTTGACATATTGTATAGATTTGTATGGAAGTCAGTATGCTGACATATTGTATAGATTTGTATGGAATGCAGTGGGTTGACGTATTGTATGGAAGGCAGTATGTTGACATATTGGGTGGATTTGTATGGAAGGCAGTACGTTGACATATTGTATAGATTTGTATGGAAGGCAGTACGTTGACATATTGTATAGATTTGTATGGAAGGCAGTATGTTGACATATTGTATAGATTTGTATGGAAGGCAGTGGGTTGACATATTGTATAGATTTGTATGGAAGTCAGTATGCTGACATATTGTATAGATTTGTATGGAATGCAGTGGGTTGACATATTGTATGGAAGGCAGTATGTTGACATATTGTATTGAAGGCAGTATATTGACATATTGTATGGAAGGCAGTGTGTTGACATATTGTATTGAAGGCAGTATGTTGACATATTGTATAGATTTGTATGGAAGGCAGTGTGTTGACTTATTGTATAGATTTGTATGGAACGCAGTGTGTTGACATAGTGTATGGAAGGCAGTATGTTGACATATTGTGTAGACTTATATGAAAGGCAGTATGTTGACATATTGTATAGATTTGTATGAAAGGCTGTGTATTGGCATATTGTATACATTGATATTGAAGGCAGTGTGTTGACATATAGTATAGATTGGTATGGAAGGCAGTGTCTTGACATATTGTATAGATTTGTATGGAAGGCAGTGTATTGACATGTTGTATAGATTTGTATGGAAGGTAGTGTGTTTAGATATTGTATAGATTTGTATGGAAGGCAGTGTGTTGACATACTGTATAGATTGGTATTGAAGGCAGTGTGTTGACATATAGTATAGATTGGTATGGAAGGCAGTGTATTGACATATTGTATATATTTGTATGGAAGGCAGTATATTGACATATTGTATATATTTGTATGGAAGGCAGTGTGTTGACATATTGTATGAATTGTAATGGAAGACAGTATGTTGACATATTGTATGAATTGGAATGGAAGGCAGTATGTTGACATATTGTATAGATTGGTATAGAAGACAGTGTGTTGACATATTGTGTAGATTGGTATAGAAGGCAGTATGTTGACATATTGTATATATTTGTATGGAAGGCAGTGTGTTGACATATTGTATGAATTGTAATAGAAGACAGTATGTTGACATATTGTATAGATTGGTATAGAAGGCAGTGTGTTGACATATTGTGTAGATTGGTATAGAAGGCAGTATGTTGACATATCGTATAGATTGGTATAGAAGGCAGTGTGTTGATATATTGTATAGATTAGTATGGAATACTCCTATCATCTGTTTACTTTACTAATGTATGATAATATTCAAATTTCGTATCATAATCAATCTTTTTCTGTAAACTGTATAGAATCATTTCACACTAGGGTTTATAGTTTGTAATGTATATAGAGTTATCAATATATCTCAACCTTGATACGGTTAGAAATCTAGATAAGGGCAAACCAATAAATGTTTGTACTACTTAACAGCACAAATAGGCCTTAAGTAGTATAAAAATTGCTGGTATTATCCTTTGACTTCTACTAGGCAACAAATGTTCAGTTAGTAGGAGTGTTTACCCTCGAATACTTTGTTTAATGTTTAAGAGCAAAACTGCACAATGAGTTATCTAGAATTTGTGCCAACGCAGAGATCTGACTCCGACATCTAACGTTAGAAAAGTTCAATCTTATTGTCTAGCCATCGAAAGGCACGTTTGAAAATAACCATTAAAAAACTGATGGGCTAAATTCCAAGAACGAAGCCTTTTCTCTAACTTATCTAATGAGCGCTTCATGTTCATCTTGGAAATCAAAGTTTATTCAAGTATTTCTTCGGGAGACAAAGAGTTTCATAACCATAACTACAATATCAAAGAACACATCGTTAACTTATTTTTAGCGTATATATTTTGAAAAGATACTGAGAGTAAAATAAAATATCATGTTTGGCCAAACTTATGAACTGTTGTGTTATATTTGCTACTAACACCAGATAGCGATTTTGAAAACTAAATGCTAAGTTTTACCAAGACTACAAATTAATTGCATAATAGTGACAGTAAGTAAAATGTGGTATCAAAAATTGGATATGAAACGAACAAAACCGATCAATCCTTTGCGCTTTTCATAAGTGCACCTATCGAAGTTCGAAGATTCTATATCTCTAATGAGATTTCATAACAACAAGTGTGAACTGTCGATAGAATAGAGTAAAATCTCACAATCCTGGTAATGAATAAAAGAATAAGTTATTTTGTAATAGTTTGTTTTCAAAGCGTTCCTAGTATTCCCAAATCCATAACTACGTCTTAGTTGATAATAATAAACTGCGGATTAAAGTTGCAGATCCTTGGTAGTTAAAATGTTGAAATCAGTTGTTTAACATTCTTACAACTGATGTACAGAATCAAAACTGATTTCCTAAAAATTACGTCTATCACAACGCAGACTAGAACTGCTCAATTTCATCTTTTCTCAAAATATTGGGAGTTTAGCGTTGCACAGCCCTTCCAGCCTACATAGTAATATAACGGTGCACAACCCATACAACGCACATAGTAATATTTTCAGAAATAAATTATTAAATATACGTCTTTTTTTCAAGAGTTTCGATACTTTACTAACTTGCTATATGGAGCTTTTGGTTTCTATATGTTATTAGAAATGAACAGCTGATTCCCTGAAAACAAGGTAGGAAGGATTTTAGCATGTTTAATAGAAATTCGGATACTTAAACAGAGCATTTTTCATGCTTAGACAAGGGATTTTTTTTTTAGTGTTCTCAATAATCCCTTTGCGAGAACACACAATTAACAGTTTTCCTATTGGTTAATAATAGTTTCAAAACTGAATTCTCTAATAAAAGTTTGAGATTTTGGGCTAAAATACAACTTCCCTGTTGATTAAGAACATTTAGAGAATGAAGCTTAATGTATTTTCTCTTTTATTCATGCAGCTATAATCTTCTCTCTTGGTTACCCAGTTTATGTTTTCACTGCATGACTTCTTATTAGATTTATATTTTAGGGTTAGTAAATATGGTACTGTTTTAGTTAAAAAAGGCAATACAACTTTTTTCTTATAACAGTGATTGAAAATTAATATACTGTGAAAGAGCTTTTGGAAGTACTTCATACTTAATACTCAAGCCATTTAATCTGGCTTTGGCTCCTAACTTAATATGCTAGAAAGGTTAAGTAGGAAGGTTAAGGAACTAAGCAACAAGTGACCTGTGTTCCAGGATACCAGCTTATTCAGAACGAGAAAATATCTGTTGACTCTCTGAGGAACTCCCTAAACGACAAACGAAGGAACGGTGAGTTTATTAACTCAGAAGATTCTTATTTTCTCATTAGTTGGTATTTCAAATTACTTAAACTTTAGAAATACCGAATCAGTAGACGGGTCTTTTAGGTCACACTATTGGATATCTTATTGGTAGCTTACTTATATTGCCCAAATAATTCATAATTGACTATTCAATTAATCATAATAATATTAGTACAAATTATTCGTTATCTATACGTTTATCTGAGATGATTGCAGCTTCATATTTTATTCTGTCTCTAGTATATACATTATTCTGGTGATTAGGACATAGATCATTAGGTTCATGGAAAGATGTACGGAGGTTGAGTACGTTATATTAAATATGCAAATCAACAAGTCCAGTGACCATCACAACCGCTATGAATTCGCGGTGAAACGACGTGTATCAGAACTACATTTTGAAAGTGTTTGGCATGACGTAGATAATGTGATGTCACCGAAAATTCACAACCTTAGAAAGGGTATTTAGCAACCCTTTTCGACACAAAATACATTCAGGTCATAATAATGTATCCAAGTGGAGGATTTTGAATTTCCAAGACAGGAATATTCCTTTTACTTAATGGCACTGAATAATTAAGGAATATGGATCAATTTGGGGAACAAGGAACCATCCAGGAAGAGATAAGTTGTATATTAATCTTGGTAAACAAAGTAGTCAAAGAGTTGGCGGTGGATGCTGTTTGTTAGCTCCATTCTCTATAGTCTATCACTTCAAAATTATTGTTGACTACTAAGGATATTCAACATGCAAGTTAGTGTGAACACTCGAAACAAACAAAGAAAAAACACTCCTTTTCCACGTGCTGCGATTACTGTCCTAAGTAAGGTAAAACTACTCTCCATTAACTACATAAAACCTTAAGACTTTACTGGTGGATCAACGTTTCGCTCATATTACTATCAATGAAACAACTACAAAAAGTATTGCTTGCAAACCTGTAATTACGATTCTTAAGAACGTTCACTTTAAGTGCTATTGACAAAAAAAAAGAAACAATAACAATGAGAATGTGGTTCTAAAATATCGTTTTGCAATACAGAGTAATTGAAAAACGTCTTTATTGATTATACAATAAATTATTCGAAAAAAATTTAATTGGATTCATGTTCGAAGTATATTGTTTTGGGGTGTTTAAGTTCTACGGGAGTTCGTTAACGTGGTTTTGTAACTGAAAAATGGCGATCGTGTCGCAACATACGTTCTGTAAAGAAATGGTGTGAAATGAAGAGGACAAGTGTTTCGACCATTGTTTTTTTTTATAATGGATCAAGATCAGTGGTAGTTGGTGTAAACTTGGACCTTCACCAATCTGATCATAAACAGAACATGCGGAACATGCATTACCTTAGACAAAAAAAATTTAGAAAACCCATGCACCATGTCTGAAGACAGTAAAGTAATCCAGAGGATATAAATCACTAGTTTTTGAAGTATTTATGTTAAGTGACTCTAAGCCATTCACCGTGTCTGAAGACGGTAAACTAATTCAGAGGATATAAATCACTAGTTTTTGAAGTATTACTGTTAAGTGACTCTAAGCCATTCACCGTGTCTGAATACGGTAGACTAATTCAGAGTATATAAATCACTATTTTTTGAAGTATTACTGTTAAGTGACTCTAAGCCATTCACCGTGTCTGAAGACGGTAGACTAATTCAGAGGATATAAATCACTAGTTTTTGAAGTATTAGTGTTAAGTGACTCTAAGCCATCCACCATGTCTGAAGACGGTAAACTAATTCAGAGGATATTAATCACTAGTTTTTGAAGTATTAGTGTTAAGTGACTCTAAGCCATTCACCGTGTCTGAAGACGGTAAACTAATTCAGAGGATATTAATCACTAGTTTTTGAAATATTAGTGTTATGTGACTCTAAGTACAAACTTATTGTATACACATTGATACTATTCTTCAAAATTTGCAGGCAGAAAACTAAAAAATGTCTTTCACAATAAATTCATTGTTTGTATATTTTTGAATGGTTATTAAAACACTGATAAATTATTATTGTTGGAAACTAATGGCCTTGCAAATCAATGAGAATTCATTATATTTCTCTGTCCAATGTCGGATCTTTTTTTAACTTCACAACTGGTCACCTCTACTACTCTGACCTATAGCTAACCTAGTTTCTGCTTTGTTTAACTGAATCAGGACATTGACCAACTTCCACAAGATCTTAAAATTTTATTGAAATTACTTATAACGTACGTATGATTACAAAATTATAACAGTAGAACAGACAGGTTCTTACTGTATACTCATTAGTGAATAAGAAACCCTTCAAAAGTTTCAAAATTTAAAGGAAGACGAATGGGTATCGAACCTTGGTGTTTTTGTTGCGAGTCTAAAAGATAACCATTGCACAAACGTTCTTATTTGTAGATCACTCAGTCGATAAGATGACAGATTGTAATAGCTTCATCTGATTTGCTTGGAAAAAAGTTCACAGGTTGAACAAAACGAAGTTGATAAACTCTACATTATAATAAAAAACTATTACAAATTTAAGGTATTTGTTAATAAATAAAATCTAAGTTAGAAACTTATAGTCTTAAAGAATCCTTTAACTGCAAATGCAAATAATTAGGTTATACAGTATGTACTTGAAACTAATTAAATCTTCCAGTAAATGTATTCATAGTTTCATCGTGAAAAAAGCATTCAATGTTTTAAAATTTTTAAATGAAGAAAATATATCTTAACTGTGCCGCTTAACCTAAAATTGTAAGCCTGTTCTTTCCTTGTTATAAGATATTTCGGAAAAGAATCTGTTCCACTCTCCACCAGCTGTGTAAACACGAGTATGTAAAGCTTTATATCTAACTTCGATTCTCTTTTAAGCCTTATACAAAACTTTTGGTGAGGTGATAATGAATACTGTAATAATATGTTATATCATAAATAAACTGTGTGAAAGTTAGGATTTTTATGTTATTCATCATAGGCTCCACCTCACGTTTTCTTAGTTCATAACCCGGACAATGGACGAGTACATCGGCTTCTTAGATTATAAATTTAGTTTAATACTGTTTGTTCTTAATTGTACACATTTTGCTGTTATTATAAAATCAAATTAGTTTTTTGGACAACATATATTTGTTGTTTTAATTTTAAATACGTAAGTTTCTTTTCGCTATCAAAACATTGTTGTTTCTGCCTTAATTCTGTTAAACCAGATGAGTTGATACATGAGGCGCAAATCTATGACATGTCATAGTGTTATGCATATAAGCTTTCATGAAATATATATGTAAACACCACATTTGTAAACTCTTTATCACCTTTCGGAACAAAATTCCTTATATAACAATTCCGTATTTCACGAGTAGAAAAGATACCTTTTTTATGACATTTGGTTAATTTCCCAGAAATTATAAGTTATTGGAACAATTTGCAAAATTTATGGTTTTCTCAAAGGTGTCGGTGTCCAAGGCCTTAGAGACAACTGAGCTTCGCATTATTTCACATTGATTAACTGATGTCTAACGTTCTGCTCAAGTCATTTGAAAATATCTCCTTTATACATATAGGCTACTAACCATTTCATAAAATATCTTTAAATATCATATCTGTATGGTTCTTACAGTTCTTGTAATCTGTCATATTCAAACAATCAACCGGAAGCTATCATTTATTACAATGGTTCTTGCACGTAATCTTTCCCTTCATAAATAAGACATTTGTTTAGCGATAAACCACTCGCGGGAAACAACTAATCAGTCACTTTATCAATCGATTAACATTATTATTTTTCTTAATGTATTCCAAGGGTTGTATTACACATTTTATTCTCCTATTACAAACTACGTGAGAACAAATTACTCTAACACCTATGTACAGTACTGTATTCCAAGGGTTGTATTGCACACTTTATTCTCCTATTACAAACTACGTGAGAACAAATTACCCTAACACTCATGTACAGTGTGGATATGTTCAAACCACACTTTGTAGAAATAACACACCACTGCAATAAGTACTTCAATAAATTCGCTAGGATAAAATACATCAGAGCAATTAATATCCCTTTTTAAGTCGCTAAGGCCAGCCTAACGAATACATACTTGGACTCTGATAAACACAAAATAAGAAGGTTGTCTGATTTCAATATTCATGGATTTTAACATGTTTCATTACAAAGTTTAAGGCCATAGCCTCGTGGATTTACCTTTTCTAAATTTCTTGCATCCCAAATCAAACCTATAAGAATACTGATACTTACGAAACACTAGCTCTCTGTTCCTAAGCCTAATGAACAAGAAAGAGAAAAGAGTATATTGTTTCTCTGATCATTAATAAAAATCTGAAAATACTTTATTGTTCTACTTCCTTCTTTCAATTTTGTAAGTATTTTTATTTTGTGTCCCATTCTACTTGTATTATTACGAGGTTTTTCTCGAAGACAACCACATTAATATTTTAATTTTTATTTTTTCGTACGTACAGGTGGGGTTCCTAATGAGTCTTTGGGGACCGGCAACACGTTTAATAACCAGTTTCCTTCATCAGAAAACAACTTAATGGAACAAGGTAATTATTAATGTTATTATTAATTATTAATATTATTAATACTAACAGTTTGTACTTAACTGAAAATATTACGTATTCTAAAAGTGTTCGCCTTCTTGGAGTTGTTCGAGTAATTCGTTTGTGTACATTTTCAAATCGGCTTACTCTCGAAACATACAAAGTATTAGTAACTAAATAAATTGCACCCATTTTAAAGTTATCCAGCAGGTGGCGTTACCTTGAATAAACACGTTTTTATAAATGATAAATTGCCGTGATGTTAAAGGAAGCAGATTTAGAATTAAGAACCTCAAACAACACCTGAGCTTGCAATAATTGCAGCCTCAAAGAAGAAGAACAATAGGTTAATAATACTTTCAGATAATAGCCAAGACTCCAAACAGGATATGTTGTTTACAGCTTAGTCTTTTAATAAAGAATTAGTAATTTAATCTTCAGTTGCTAGACTCCAAGTATTGTAGTTGTTTATGGCGCATACTCCAGTTATTGTAACATGTAAGCATTCAACATAAAATAACACATTAGTAAACACGTTATTCTTTAAATGACATCCGTTTTGAACTACCTACTCTCCAACTCATCTTTGTTGTAATAACTTTATGCTAACGTATATACTCTAAATAACAATGTCAACAAATAGTTGGAGTTATAATCTGTCCAGGTTCAATATAGTGTACATTGTACATAGATCCCAATTCCACTTTCTTGCAAACATCTTAAGCTCCAGGTAATTTACATTGTAAGGAACGAGACTCTAAGTATTTATGTTGTGAATTACCTACTCCACCAATATTGTTTGCTGTAAACACTCTCGACTGTAAGAAGGGTATTACGTAAAAATACAAGGAAACACAAAGGAATGTGTGTTTTAAACTGCAAGGTAAAGTATGCTCTAAGTAAAGTAAGGGATAAGTAAAATATGCTCTAAGTAAAGTATGCTTTAAAATACTTGCTCTCCAAATATTACCCAGTCTCCAGGTAGTGTATGTTGAAAGCATCTTTGGTTCGAAATTATTTACGCTGTAAACAACCTGGAGGAAAAGTATTGTTACTTGTAAATAACTAGTTTCAAGGGAGAGAGACGAGGATCTGAGTAGTTTATATTGTGCGGAATTTATGCTTCAAACAATGTATGTTATAAGGAGCTAATTCCCCCAATAGTATATGTAATTAATAGTTGAAAATTGAATCTATGCTTCAAACAATGTATGTTATAAGGAGCTAAATCTCAGTGTAGTATATGTAATTAATAGTTGAAAATCGAATCTATGCTTCAAACAATGCATGTGATAAGGAGCTAAATCTCAAAGTAGTATATGCAATAAATAGCTGAAACTCCATCCAAACATGGTGGAAAACAGCCTACACTACACGCAAGGTATTTTCTAAGTACATCAGATTCCATGCAACGTATGTTGTAAAGAGACTATAGCACAAGTAGTTGAGTTCTAAACAGCTAAGAATCCAAGTAGTAGTGTATGCTGTAAACAGATTAGAGCACTAGTAGTTTTGTTGTAAACAGCTAAGTATCGAAGTATTAGTGTAGGTTGTAAACTGACTAAGACACTAGTAGTTGTGTTGTAAATTGTTAAATATCTAAGTAGTGTATTATTAAAACAGCGTAACTCCAAGTTGAGTTTTTCAGTGTAGAATCAAAGTATTACAAGTTCAGCTCAAGTATAGCTTAGATTTCGAGTAATCTCTGTTAGAAATAATTTGAGCTACAAATGGAAGTGCTCTGCCATCGTTTCTAAAGCTATTTCTTACGTCAAGGATGCAACCCACTTGACAGCCTTCCCTCTTTGAAAGGACGAGCATGTTTGGTGTGACGGGGATTTGAAACCGCGACCCTCAGATTGCGAGTCGAGCGCCTTAACCACCTGGCCATGCCGGGCCCAGGCTCCAGTTAATGGCTTTAAAAAAGTTAGGGTATGATGTAAACAGCCAAGATTACATACATCGAATATATTAATAGTCAAAATTTCAAACTCTTTGTACAGTAAAAAGTCAACACAAAACGTACTAGTTGCTTTGAAAACCCTAGTCTGTAAACAACGTATGGAGTAAAGAGCCCAGACTCCAAGCAATGAATATACCAGTAGTTGAGATTCCAACTATTGTACCTTTATACCAGTTTACACTTTTAACAATGCTTTAAACACCCTAAACTCCAAGTAACGTAAACTGCAAACAGTTACACTTCAAACAGTTACGTGATATTGTATTGTAAGTAACTGAGTAAAAGTGGCGTACGGTGTAAGCATTCTAAAGTTCATATTAATGTATCTTAAACGGTTACTGGGCCAATCTCGTGCAGACGGTGACAATACTAAGATATGTTTCCAAACTTTTCGTATATTTTGTTTCTTCTTTATAGGGATATAACTGGTACTTTCATTTCATTGATATTTGTTAAATATATTGTGAAATGATTCGCTAACTGTTCTCCTAACATTTCACTTAAGATATGATTAAAACTAACTTTCTTTAGCATTTTCATAAATTTTCATGGTAAATATTTCTATCATATTCTTAATAAGATAGAAAAAAATTTCAAATTCATAAAAAATACGTTATTTTCTATACTTCGTATGTGCAATTGCCACAAAGAAGCAATTTTGTTGAAAAATACCCATTAATATTTCGTTACCACCCAAACCGTTAATTGTCCCTGAAAGTACGAAAAAACAAATTCTGCAAATAAGGAAATTTAAGTTTTTTTTCGGGTTTTATTTCCATTAAAACCTCAACATAAAGATCCAACCAGCTGGCACTTCTACTTGACAATAGCTCATCAGATAACGAACAGAAACAAACGAATTTCAGCTAGCACAAGGGAAACGTTAAAGAGGAATTATTATAGAAACAAGGAACTATAAAACTTTTTTTGAATTATTTTAAAAGTCCATTATTTTTTATATCACCTATCCTGTGCCTTGGTTACCGTTTTGAACATCATCTGCTTTTACCTCTGTTAAATAACACCTGTATTTTCTGTGCCGTTTTATCTATCACTTGTAAATTTTTAGCGTTTTCTATATCATCGTATAGTTGAATTGTCATTTTAAACATCACCTGTTAGATATTACTGCTAATAATCAATGAATCTCTATTATTTTTACCTTAAAACGATAGCTTTCATGTCAAATACGATGAAAAGCAGGTGCTCGAAATGCCATTGCTAAATAAAATAAGTTTTTCTTTCTTAGAAACAACTATATTTTGAACATGAATTATCCATGCTTTATATGTTTAGACATAACTTTTATCTTCTTTACTGTCAAAAAAAAAATGCCCCCCAGTGGCACAGCGGTATGTCTGCGGACTTACAACGCTAGAAACCGGGTTTCGATACCCGTGGTGGGCAGAGCACAGATAGCCCTTGTGTAGCTTTGTGTATAATTAAAAACAAACAAAAACAAACTGTCAAAAACGCCACCTAAATATTTTTTACTAATTTTTATAACTGTATCATCTTTAATGTTTCACTTTCTATACGCACGTCGTATCTGTTTCACCATTTTAAACTTCACCCACATCTGTTTTACCATTTTAAACTTCACCCACATCTGTTTTACCATATTAAACTTCACCCACATCTGATTTACCATATTAAACTTCACCCACATCTGATTTACCATATTAAACTTCACCCACATCTGTTTTACCATATTAAACTTCACCCACATCTGATTTACCATTTTATACTTCAGCCACATCTGTTTTACCATATTAAACTTCACCCACATCTGTTTTACCATTTTAAACTTCACCCACATCTGTTTTACCATATTAAACTTCACCCACATCTGTTTTACCATATTAAACTTCACCCACATCTGATTT